ACACACACACACACACACACACACACACACACACACACACACACACACACACACACACACACGGCTGCTTTGCTCATCTGTAAGTTCTGCAGATCACAACAGGTTTCAATAACCAGACAAGTGTGCTCGATAAAAGTGTTTATAGAATCGTTAATACACACAAATATRGACTACTGGGACAAAAGCATGAATCTTCTTTTAAATATTCCTATCTGAGAAATAAAAATGCATTAAGAAAAAAATTTTTTTCTTTCTTAAAGAAAAACCTGGCCAGCCAGGGATGCTCAGACCTCTTCTTAAACTCAAGATTTTCACATATTTTAAATCCCTTTTCCCCCTTTTCTCATTTACAGAATAATTGTATCTCTTTCTGGCCTTTAATCTCATAAATATCCATTTCTGCATTCTTATATTTCAGATGTACAGCTTTGATCTTAAATGCATGATCTAAATCCAGTTTCCAACAGGCTGTAAGCAGAATCTCCCAAGAAATGAACAATTTCATGGCCTCATTTGTACCCTGCATCCCAGAGAAGCAGGACAGTCGTTTTCTTTTCACAACACTGATTTAAATACTGCAGRTGTAAACAGCACAAAGGCCACAGAATGACATGTACCCAACAGAACAATGAAAACTATTTGAAATGTGTGACCTTTAAGTGGTTTTCAGATATCAAACATTATATCCAGACCCTTCTGTTGATGCTACTCATACCATCACTCCTCATGATTGAGTGATTTTATTGATCTTTATCTTAAAGCAGAAATGTAATATAGAAAACGGGTTTGAGGTTTTGGTTTAAAATAAGACATGTAGATTTTGACTGATACAAAATACTTTGTCAAGATTTAACAGGCCTCCATGTCGAAGCTGTTTGCAGGAATTTCAGTTTAACAAAAAATAATAATAATTTTGTCCACAAATACACACACAAAAAAATGTGTTGCTTTTTACAACATCCCATTAATGTAGTGCTGATGTCACATATTCAGTAATGGGATTTGCCAGATCATGATGGTGGACGTGTTGTCCTCGTGGCGAGATGGTTTGGACTTTTTATTGACCCTTCGGTGGCCCAGACCGCCAGACACCACCAGCAGCGAGCTGACATCCACCTTGCTCGAGCGCTGGCCCCTCTGGTGGTGGGCGGTGTCATGCAGCATGTCATAGAGGGCCCCGTCCTCCGGACCATGCTCCAAAGAGCTTTGGGAAGGAGCTAAAGAGCCGCAGGATGAAGAGGACAGAGAGTCCTGCAGAGCCATGGTGGTGCAGCCCGCCTCTCCCAACCACACGCCTCGGCCCTGAGGGGGGTTTGAGGTGGAGCATGAAGAATGCTGGGAGCTTTCTGCATCCTGGGACTCCTGGAGGGAGGAGGGAGGGCTGGACGTTGGCAGGCCAGGTGATCGGTTACACACCGCCGCAGCCATGGTGAGGAACTTGACGGGACCGTTGTGTGCGTGCAACGACACCATTCCTCGACCTAAAAGGAGACAAAAACATGAATCCAGGAGGGTTTACATGTTGGGCAATCAAAACCTTGAGAATCCTGTGTACCCTGAAGGTTGTGTACATTTATGTACACAAAATAAAAATGGTTGGACTGCAGCTTCTTTCACCAAAATAAAGTTAGGTCTGGTGAGGAAGGCAGTTGGTGTTAGAACCAAAGCACTATGACACCACAGAATAAATGTAATCTGTTGTAATGGGATGCAGCTTCTGTGCTAGAACTCAAAGCTGATTAGTTCTTGGTGAACAAACCCTTTAAAGCTTACAGAAAATGGTTTTGATCAGGTTCAGGATTTGAACCAACTTCTTTAGTATTAAAAAGGCAGCAAGTTCTTGAGTCATAGTTGGCATTAATGGAAAATGTGACATTTGCTCTCTGAGCATGTTTTAGGTTCATCTATTGGAAAATCAGGAGTCTGCCTCTGCAGACTGAATTGAATTTCCAGGGATCATTTAAATTTGCAACAAGGCGTCTACTTTTAAAGAGGAAAAACCTCGCTGCCTCCAGGTTTCTTGATTGTCCATGTGAGACTTGGACTGTAAGCCAATAAGAYGACAGCTTCCTCTCAAACCTGCACAACAAGCCCTTTTAATGGAACGGACCAAAGTGCAGCTGCAGCACTGTGGAATTCAAATCTTTATCTTGAGCAAGAGGACTCATCAGACATAATACCGTTAAAAACAACTTCACAGCCTTTGGGAAAATGTTCAGACATTACAATTTAAAAAAAAACATAGATGCACAAACATTTTTTGCTGCCCTGCTTGCACATTTTAACATGCRATGAACTTGGATTTTCACATTACCTGTTACTTTGGGGATGCCCTGAAGTCTGGGGACAGAAAGAGCCACAGTCACCCCCAAGTTGGTTCCAACTAATAGTAGGTTGTGACAAACCAGCAGACTGCTTACAGACACCCTCTGGTTCCCTGAAGAAAGTTGTTAAAAACGGTTTACATTATTTAACATGCTTTTTTAGATAAATCCGCTGATATTTGCATATAAAAGTGACAGGGTTTGGTAAATACATCCTCCCACACAGAAGGTCTCCTTCAAAAAATGTTTTAAAAAATCTGCACAGTTAATTGTTTATTTCACCAGACGTGAATRCAGTGTAGCACGCAGAAGGGGAGGGAGATGTTTTGTTTTCGTATGTGGCAGCAATTCTGCCTCCACGGTGTTCAAAGCTCGTTTGTCTCCTGGGCAACGTGAAGAGGAGCGTGGATAAAAAAAAAACAGAGCTTTTTCAAGCATCTGAACAAAGAAAAATGCCCCATAATGGCCATCTTCGAGTCAAACAAACAAACACAAAAGYGTTACGTAACGGGAGGAGTGAAGCGTAATGCTGTAATTAAGGAAGGGGCTCTGCCTCTATTCAGAAAATTGGTGGCGAAACAACAGGACTATTTGACCTGGCCTTTTTCTTTTTCTTTCCCTCTTGTTCAGAAATCTCCCTGAAGCTCCTAGACTGTAAAAGCTTGGATTGTTACGTTAACAACACCTTTCAGAAAGCAGAGAAATAAAGGAACAGTGCTGACACTTTGTGTTGAGTGACTTATTATGGCATTCCCCTTACACAGTCTCCACACAGGAGCTTTGTCATGAATCAACTATGCAACAAATTGGCAAGCAAACATTTCTTTAAAGGGGCATTATGTGTTTCTAAGGCATACGTTTAAATACTATACCATAATAAAGTAACTATGTCACCTTTAGCTGTTATTAAAATGCTGTTTTTATGTTTAAATAGAAAATAAACATATTTTCTCATCACTTTCTCTTCTAAACACCTTGAAATTGGCCTCTGTCTCTTTAARAACCACCATCCGCTTCTGTCTCACCCACTTCGGTGCGGGGGGGAGGGGTGCTACGATGCAGTTTACTTGGCATCTGAAAATACATTTCCTCAAAAGGTATTTTGAATCTGAAAAGAGCTTCACTGAGTGAGAACTAATGTTGAGAGCACAGCAGACAGTTAAGTTTCACTTTCACTCTCACCCGAGAGCCTGCAGGAGTCATGGGCGGGGTGTGTGTGGAGGGGGGGTGCTTCGCCATGAGGAAGTTCGACTTAAAGACACGTCCCAGGGGCATTCCTGGTACCAAAAGGTGTTTCTGGTCCCCACCTGTCGTTTTGCTCCTCAGCATGGCTTCATAAAAACGCTGCAGGATTTCTCAAACATGCATGAATGAGTCARAGCAAGGCTTTGGGCATGTTTTTTATGTGAGTATAACATTATAACATGATATAAAACTCAAAAAAGTTGATTWTACATGATATTGCCCCTTTAATCATATTTGCATGATTTCAATAAGAATCTAAGGWTTTTGTAAAAGCAGTCTTCTCAGACCTGCTATGTGGGAGGCGAGACTGTCATGAGTCATTACTGCTTTAACAGCCTGACAAGAATTTCCTCCCTTAAAGTAATCCTCTTGGGCATTAGGGAAAAAAAAATTACTGCCAGTTTATCTGCCTGACCTCCTCACTAGAGCTGACCCCACGCATGGGGTACACACACACACTCCACGTGGTCATACTTCACGAATTTCTGCCAGATTGGCAGGCTGGTACAGTTTAACGCTKTAACTCTTTGCCCACATGTGCTTCTAATGAGGGCTCAGAGTGAGGAGAAACACACAGACTCCTGGTCAGGGGCCTTGCTCAACTTCCTCTCTTCATAATATTTGGAGTTCCCCACCCAAAGGGTGAACTAAAATAAACCCTGAGAGAGCATCAACACGGCCCAGCTCTGGCTCTGATCCTACACTGGAGGACCTCTTTGATCCGCAGTAAGTCCTGACAATCAACAGCAGGAGGGAGGAGTAAATCCAACAAAAATTACAAAAAAATGCACTCCATCAGCAGTTCAGTCAGTATAGAAATACTTTGGATCAGCACATTGAGTAATCACACTGCCAGTCACTGGGAATTCATTAGGTTTGCTGTAAAATTCGATGTGGTCCAGAATTTAGACTTGACCGACAAGAACTCCAATATGAACAGCAACTTTTTACTGCAAATAAAAATGCATCATATTTAATGTGTGTATTTAAAATAACAACATTAATACACATCTAACATTTTCCTTTAATTCCACTCTGTCCTTTTGATCCAAACTGATTGATCAATCACCAACACGTTGCATATTTTGAGAGGTGCAACTATTATGTCACATAAACAAAGGAACCAGAGGTGTTATTTACCAATCCCCTGATCCCTTGATGTTTGTGTCCCATCAGGCCACGCATGACCGCATATTTAGGTCAGAGCGGCAGACAAAGACAGACCCTCACCACAGCAACCAGCCAGCCACCATCCTCTGAGACAGTCTGCACCGATGCTCAACCACCATCTTCTGACAATTATTACTCCAGTTTTAATCAAACCTCAGCTGTATTTAAACATCACACAGTAAACGATCTTAWTTAGCTATGATTACATGCTTGTTTTGACGACGATTACAAGTCCCGGTTTTCCTAACATATTCAGTGGCATAAAGTTCTCACCCCAAATGATTGTTATTACAGCATATTAGCTGTCTGTGAGTTTGCAGCCTGGATTAAAAATAACCTTATGTTTGCAGAGAAGGGAGTTGGCAGAATAGCTTCAACATGCATGAACATGAGAAGGACAACCCCACCTCCTGGATCCAACATTGCACCACTGATAAAGGCAGTCACACCAAGAAAAACAGCCTATGTTTCTCTTTGATTTTGGTGAGAATATTGTTACTGGATCGCTCATAAGAAGCCATAATCCCATTAGGAGTTGATAAAATAACGTGAACTGGGAGACAAAAAAGGTCATGATGCTGTGCCTCTCACAATAAACACTAAAGAGGAGCAGAATTGCAGATGAAACAGCCATCACTCCTTCTAACACATCATCTGCAGGCACTTCCTCTTATTCCAATAGTTTGGCTGACAGTTCCAATTACATCAGAGTTTGGGCAGAAACAGCACATTTTTGGGTCACAGTCTGTTCCCCAGCAGCAGCCAGCAGTGATAAACCCTGCAGCTGAAAACAAACAACAAGAAATGACTAAGAATGTGGCAAACAGGTGAAGGTCAAGCAACTGATTTGATAAAAAAAAAAAGATTACACAACTACATAATTTTGTTGTTGATGGATCACATAGAAGGAGAAATAACTACAGAGTTCTATGCAGACGGACAGTCCTTAATCCAAATATTGTTATCAGAGGAAATGAGCTCTTAATGATGAGGTCCACAAGATGAAAGCTTTTAATGTGTGCTGTTCTGTCCCAGAAGCTGCTTCCTCTGTGGTTGCATGGATTCGATTAGCTTGTGAGGATGGTGAGGTTGCACAGATTTTATCATTCACATCTGTCAGACAAGCAGTACTTCCACTCCTAACTCTGTAAACCAGTGGGCATTTAAGGTTCTCACAGCTAACGCCAAGCCATTTGTTAGCTCCCACATTTTACTTGCAATTAGGGATTTCCTATAGGAAACCCAAGTTTCTAAATGATCCAGAAACACAGCTGCATCTCCGCACCATCATGCATCTGACTGCAGTTTATTATGATGTCATAGTACGATCGCTTGTAGCCATGAATACTAATAGTTAAAGTGAGCTTTATACCATGCTATAATGTCATTCCCTCATCAAACACACACCCAGAGTGTTGCTTTGACTCATTCATGCATGTCTGAGAGATCCTTAAATCTCTGTGGTAGCCAGGTGGAGCTGCCTTAACACTTGCTGGTACAAAGCTCCGCCCATTTACCCAAAGCTCCTCCCTGGAGCTCAGTCTGCAGACGAGCTCCCGCCTCACAGAGCACGCCTTCCACGCTCCTCCCCCACAGCTCCACCAGACTAGCTAAACATACAGCGGGTAAAATAAGTATTGAATACGTCACCATTTTTCTCAGTAAATATATTACTAGAGGTGCTAATGACATGAAATTTTCACCAGATGTCGGTAACCACCCAAGTGATCCATACATACAAAGAAATCAAACCATAAATGTCCAGAAATGAAGTTATTTGTAATAATGTGGAATGGCACAGGGAAAAAGTATTGAACACATGAAGAAAGGGAGGTGTAAAAAGGCATGGAAAGCCAAGACACCAGCTGAACTCTCTCAGTAATTAGAAAGCAAGCCTGCCCCTTGTCAGTGCAAATTAATATTAGCTGGTTCAGTCCCAAATGATGGCCAGGTATCACACAAGAACCATCTGATGATGGGTAAAAGTAAAGAGCTCTCTCAAGACCTTCACAACCTTATTGTTGCAAAGCATAATGATGGCATCGGTTACAGAAGAATGTCTAAACTTCTGAAGGTTCCAGTGAGCACTGTTGGGGCCATAATTCAGAAGTGGAAAGAACATTATTTCACCATAAACCGACCACGACCAGGTGCTCCTCACAAGATTTCTGACAGAGGAGTGAAAAGAATTATCAGAAGAGTTGTCCAAGAGCCAAGGACCACTTGTGGAGAGCTTCAGAAAGACCTGGAATTAGCAGGTACGATTGTTTCAAAGAAAACAATAAGTAATGCACTGAACCACCATGGCCTGTATGCACGCTCACCACGCAAGACTCCACTGCTGAAGAAACAGCATGTTGAAGCTCCTTTAAAGTTTGCTGCTCAACATTTAAACAAGCCTGTGTAATACTGGGAGAATATAGTCTGGTCAGATGAGACCAACGTTGAACTGTTTGGATGCCAGAATACACATCATGTTTGGAGGTCAAATGGCACTGCACATCAGCCCAAAAACACCATACCAACAGTGAAGTTTGGAGGTGGGAACATCATGGTGTGGGGCTGTTTTTCAGCATATGGTACTGGCAAACTTCAAATAATTGAAGGAAGGATGAATGGAAAAATGTACAGAGACATTATTGATAAAAATCTGCTTCCATCTACCAGGATGATGAAGATGAAATGTGGCTGGACATTTCAACAAGACAATGGACCTCATGCAAGAACATGTTCGTATTCTTATCCTAAATTTCTCTTACTTTTGTTCGTACAAAGGGTTCGTACGAACATGTCACGTCAGATTCAACAAACTCTTCTATCTTCAGGAAAAGTGTGTAAATGAAATGTGTAAATTTCCACCTGTTCGTATCCAGCTGCTCGTGCATGCGAGAGGAGATTAGCATAATTACYACCCCAAAAACACCATATAAGGCTGTGATTCCTGCCTCAGATACAAGTGTTCATTCATGAAAAATGACAGCGAAAACTAAAAAAAAGAAAAAAACTTTACGAGTTCAGAGTTTGAAGTCCGTCTGTCAGAGATCCAGAAAAGAAAATCTGTCATTTTTAGCAGGTCAGCTGTGGGATAAAAAGAGCTGCTAAAAGTATAAACAACTGTGTTAAATCATTTTCATTTATTCAGAAGACACAGCGCTGCGCACCGGTCCCCCCCCCCCCCCCACTTGGGTTGTTATTGACATCTGGTGAAAATTTCATGTCATTAGCACCTCTAGTAATATATTTACTGAGAAAAATGGTGACGTGTTCAATACTTATTTTACCCGATGTATCTTAAAAATGCTGGATATTGATGATTTCACAGCAAAACATAGCTTCATAATGAACTATATTTATACATAGTTTCTTTGCAAAAAGCTTCAACATCGACATACAGCATGTATGAGAAGATGACTGGAGATATATTACCGAGCTGAAATTTTTTGTAAGAGCCTCTGTACGCACTCCGAAATTATATAGTGTTGCTTCTTTAAAAAAATACAACAAAATACAACACTCTTTTGAAAGGTTGTAAATAGCATGAAGCATTGTTGTGATGCTGTGCTGAAGTGGGAGTGTAGGAAACAGTAGGGGGTTGTTAAAGAGACAGAAGCCAATTTCAAGATGCAAAGTCAAATTTATTTTTGATAAATACAGCATTTCCACAACTACTTAAGGTAACAGTTACTTGATTGTGGTATAGAATTGAACTATGTGCCTGGAAAATACTTAATACTCCCCCTTTAAAGTTTACATTGCTAAAGAGTGTATCACTGTTTTCTTAAGAATGAAAAAGACCTCGACAGCAAAGCTGCAGCTGATGATCAAAGCTAATGCAGTCTTCTCAAAAACCACAACTTTCTAACAGTACAGATTAACCACATTTAAACACCAAAATAAGGAACAGGGTCAAACATCAAACTGAATGAATGTATCAGAAAATGCACACTAAACCAACAAGACAAAAAAGCATCAATGATCGGATTCCACAAATCCTACACTCTGACCGACAATAATAATCATGATGGCTGTGTGTGTTTTTAGGTCATGTTGATAGAACACAACAGATTACAAGATCCAAAGCAGCAGGTTGCTGATGACTTCAGCCAGACACAAAAGTGATCTGAACTCAACAATGTCCAACTCAAATCTGCAACACAGCAACATGTCCTTCATTTATATCCTAGAGCTTCACTTTGTATACATTATATCAATGACAAGAACACATCCACAGATGCACAGCTGTTTTGGTACAAACTACATGTTGCTAAAAAAGTAAGCTTAATTTGTGTGCTCTTTTTCCAAAGCCTCTAAAATAAACATTCGTCCTCCATGAAAATAAAATAAAACCCACCAGGAGTTAAATCATCTAYTAGCCACGGCTCATTTGTCTCGCTTCTGACACCGAAGCTTAACCTGTTAATGACGGCTTTCCAGATGCAGTTACACAATCCCAGACAAGAGGTGAACCATTATGTTGGAATGCCTTAAGTGAAGTAAACTCATCTTCAAAGCAAGAATAAACCTCCGTTCTCAGAATTAATGCACTCACAGTAATGCTTTATCTAGGATACAACTGTAGGTCTGTTGAAGGGTAAAAGACCCACAGATACTTCTGAACAATGCTTCCTGTTTAGGGTTCAGTTAGCCTAAAGGATCCTTTTACATTTATAAAGTTAAGAGCCACTCAGTAAGCTTTGGTTTTATTTGGTTTGGTGCATCAGCACAGCTAATATTTTGTTTGAGTATCTTTCTGACAGATTAGGAGGATTTATTGYACTAGCTTGAACAGCTCGGTTTGCTCATTTTCTTTACCTGCCTACTTTTGGTTAGTTGGATGATCCATTGTTGTTAAAAAGGTTATTTCAGTTCAGGTTGGTTTCTTTGTTAGAGCTGATTCTGTAGCATAAAAGTTTGCCTTAAAATTGGCATGACAAGGACACCGTATTTTATAAAATTCCATGAAAAGAGACTCTCTTAGTAGGTCTGAGCTCGCTGTTTAGCCAAAAAGGCTTTTGAAAAGCTTTAAGAAAAAAAAAAAGAAAAGGGTGGAAAATCTGCCACAATGAAAAGCTGCCTGGATGAAAACTGACGTTAGCTAATACCTGACAGGCGATGGATGAAGAAAATGTGAGAACGTAGTCTCTATCAAAGGGTACAAAATGTTTTTTTAAGTTCATTAGATGGTCAGATTTGAAAAAAAAAAAAAAAGAAAGAAAAAAAAGACACCAACTACGCTCTTCTGTTCTTTGTCAGACAAACTGACTGTCTGTAAATGTTTGGGTCTTTGTCAGGCATATGGATCACATTACCGAGTGCAGGAGAAGAAAACAGAGAGGTAGTGGAGAGGTGAAGATGGTAATCACTAAACAAYGAGACTGAACCTAGAAACCTTTGGTGAAAAAAATACATTTAGATAGAATAAACACGACAAACGCTGTGTACAATGAAATGTTCCATTTTTAGTGCACAGAGAAAACTCTGCAAGTGCCTATTTACTTTTTTTAATTTGTCTTACGTTCATAAATGGAATAAAAAGTTTATTTCCTAAATCCATTTGGCGAACACGTAAAAACAAAATTAGGACTGGAGAAGTCAAATGAGGAAACACAATAGGCAGAAATATGGCAACATGAACCAATGAGAACAAAGTAGTACACTGGCAGTCTTACCAGGTAGAACATTGTTAACTGTTGTGGCGATGTTTATGTCCTGCAGGTGCTCCAAGGTCTCGGTGTGGAAGAGGCGTAGCGTAGAACCGGAGCTGAATGCGATCCAGATGCCCACTCCGGCCACCACCATGTGAGACACCACCATACCCTCCTCCTGGTGGGCCTCCAACTGCCTCTAGATGAAGAACACAGGACAAGGTCACAAGCTTGGGTATTATTTACAAAATTCTCTTCAAAAAGTCTTTACTTGAACTGGGCTTCAATCTGACATTTACTGTATTTAAATTAATATTTAGACCAAGAACACAAATTAATTCTGAACAAATGGCACGAAGTAAACATCAKATTTGAAACTATTCCAGCCAAATAATGTAATATTCAGTTTGAAATATTTGACTTGTTCTGTATGAAACTAAATGAGCAGCTTTTATTTGAAATATTCACTGGACATGTAGCGAACAGTTCTGCATTCAGTTTATTTTGTTTGAACTGAACAGCAATGAAGACAGACTGGGTTAAACTCAGGTTAAACTTGGTGTTTGGATGATTATCRAGCCAGACAGAAACATAATGCAACCCACAGAAACTTTGTTTAGACTATCCCCACCTGCAAAGTTAGTGCTAGTTATGTCTGTGTACGCCAATTAGATTCAAAAACAAGGCAAAAAGTCACAAAAGATACAATTCATTGGAGAAAAAAACTGTTTGAAAAAGAAATACACTTGACAAGGCCTAGTGGTGAATGTGGTATATGAATCTCACATTTTAAAGATTTTTATTTCCACTCTCATCTTCCTTTCAGTCATTCATTTGGAACAAGTTATGTCAAATGTTGGAATTARTAAAATATTACACATACTGTAAGTGGACACATTTTTGTTGAAGTTAAGTGTATTTACAATAGTTTAAATGCTGATTTAAGACAAACAAATGAAGTGGTGTTAAACATATAGCTGTGTTGCTGTACATGTTAGCTTTCTAACACATTCCCATTATATTTATGAATCACCACGTTTTATAACATGTTTAGATTATTTCTCACAATTTTTGCTTTTCTTCTCAATCGAACTCCCTATTTGACTTTTAATCACTACTCTAACTGGGTAGCAAAAAAAAAAAAGCGTTAACAGGCAGGTGGCCTAACGTAATGAGCTTAATGAGGCTAAACTCATTATGAGAGAAGGCGCATGTCAGAAGAACGTTACTATTCCTGGACTCRTAGCAGGTGCTCCCATTTCCCAAACCAGGCCAGGACTCACATGGAAAATTATATTCCCGGGTTCTAACAAGGGAATGAGGCAGTGTGTGGGCTTTTTTAGCTTTAATGATCCCATCGAACAAAACCCTGACAGAACACTGAAGAGATGGTGTCATATTTTCCCCTCCACTGTTTAGCTTTTATACTGACTGCATCATAGTCTGGATGAGTTTCTGCTTATGTATTTGACCAAACAGACTTTTTAGACATTTAAAGAGAAAACTACACATCATCTTCTAAACTATCCACCATATTATAAAAAATGTTGAGTTAAACAGAATCCAACCAGCATTCTTACCTCTACACAGTGTGAGTGGGTGCTGATGATGAAGACCTGTCCACCTGAAGAGGCCCAGAGGTGATCCTCCACAGCCAGCATCACCTTAACAGGAAGGACTCCCAGCTTCAGTAACTTGGGCTTGTCGCTGCTCCACAAACCATCTGACAGCAAACAATGCAGCTAATTCAGAACATTATATGGTATTATTGCAAACACGTGTATAAAAGATTGAAAATCTGATAATATACGAGAAAAACCTGCTTGTAATGAAACATCAAAAACACAGCAACAAAGGTCTTTAGCATATTGTGGCATCTATTTTTTCCTCTTATGGGCTAAGAAAAAATGATTTACAAAACAAACAATACTGTAACAATCAATCTGTTTTTCTAATTGTCACCTTTAAATGTCAGCGGCATTTTTAACTCTGCTAATGGTTGATAAGTGGCCATTGATGGTTTTCACAGGCTTCACTATGAATATAAATGGGCTGTGAAGTGTTAGTCAGMGCTGAGCTGTAGCCCACAACACACCTCCTACACACTCTGTTCTACATGTGCCGGGACATAGAGCCAGCTCTGCTGTGGTCAAACACCTTCGGCAGTAGATTTATAAATATCAGCACTTTTACCATCCTTTTTTTAAATGTACCTGCATTTATAAATGAGAAGAAACAAAAAGCTTAGGATTTAATGTGTTTAATAACCTAATTAATTTAAGCTGAGGTGAGGTTATTTAAGTGCCAATGTGCAGGAATCAACACAACACATTAGTAAGCTCACTGCAAGTCCAGAACTGAATAGAATATTTATCTAGATTCCACATTCTCCTGACTAATACAGCCCAGGAGGAGAATGAGGCCTCACCAAAAATGTTTCACTGAAGGCACAAAGACACCTATTGAGAGGAAAGTTACCAGGCATCCATGCAGAGAAAGATGTTTTTTTTTAGGAGGCGTAGCAATTACTGGAAAAGTAATCTCCAAATAAAATAGCAAGATTAACATTCCAGCAGTGCTGTGTGTGTATTATTGTAACAAGGATGCTGCGTAGGTGAGTGTATGAAGGAAATGTTGAAAGGAGCTGTAGTGAAGAGAGGCAGGAGTGCCAACTTGCAGGCTTATGCAAGTCGTCAGCGCTGAAGTGCGTCGGCCTACATCCTTCTTCATGTCAGTATCAGCTAATACAAAGTGCAGCTAAAATACTTACCGTACACTGAATGCTGATTCAACATTCACAATATTGCTTATATTTATTTTTTATGTTTGGTTTTTTTACCATTTAAACTACTTCTGCATACTTGATGCTATTTTAGCCTAACATTAACTTTGTAACTAATTTTGTGCATTATTCTGTTCAGGGGAACACTGATGGTACAGGACGGCTGATTGCAGAAGGTTCTGACAGCAGCGTGGGACCTCTGATGTTTCACTGCCTCCTGCCTGTTCAATTTCTCTCACAGKCATTTACTTGGGAAACAGCAAACATGGCAGAACTAGGCTGCCAACTTAAGAAACACTGCACCGACAACAGGGTCGCATTTCCCATGCAGCTTCAGAAAAAATCAGCACCGAAGGCATTAACGAGAGCGAGATTTCTGTCTGCTCAGTTGTTTTTGATATTTCGTCTTTACCAACATCGCAGGTGCTTTTTGATCAGCTCAATCCACTCCTGCTGGTCTCTGAAAGGTAAATCGTGACTCTGCTTAAAGGCCAATTGTGAACAGGCAGTGACAAAGCACTCGGGCAACATTACAGCAAGGAAGCAGTTTTTAAAGGGATCCACGATTAGTTGTAACATTGGATTTTATTTGATAAACATTTATTTTAACTGTTAAAGACTAAAAATACTGCAGGCTGTTTAGTTTTTATGATTTTTTTAAAATATATTTTAACATGAACGGAGCCATTTTATTTACATGCAAAGCATTCTGGGTAAATGATGATGTGGATAGGTCCTCTGTGTGAGCGAGCTCTACCCACCCAGAAGGTTAATCTTGGACAATATCTGACGATCGACTCTTTTAAATGAAACCAGAGAGCGTTGACAGAGAGGAGAAGGTAGAAATGACTCAGCCTGKAACTGAAAATATGGATGGAGGACAACAGAGCTGCTTCATGGAAGAAGAACCTCAGCTTAGCCTGTTAGCCTTTGCGCTAGCGCCGACGCTATATTGCCTTATATATATGAGCTCRGTGTAAACGTGACAAACTAACAAGCTAAACTGAGGTCCTCCATCCATATTTTCAGTTGCAGGCTGAGTCATTTGTGCRTTCCTCTCTCTGTCATGTGGATGGAGGACCTCAGTGATGAGAGGAGAATGTGTAGCGCTGAGCTAAAACATATATATGGTGATGGTGTCGGGGCTAATGCTAAAGCTAACAGGGTAAGCTGAGGTTCTTCTTCCATGAAGCAGCTCTGTTGTCCTCCATCTATATTTTAAAAAAGCCAATCATCAGATATTGTCCAAGATTAACCTTCAGGGTGGATATAGCTCGCTAGCAGCTTCGCACTGAGGACCTATCCAAGTCAACATTTACCCAGAATGCTTTGCGTGTAAATAAAATGGCCCCATCCGTTTAATAGATTTTTAAACTTTTAGTTTAAAAATGATAAAAACTGAACACCCTACAGTATTTTGACAGTTTTTATTTTACAGTTAAAATATATGCTTATTAAATAAAGTCTAATGTTACAACTTACCATGGATCCCTTTAAAGACATACAGACATACAGCAACACACTATGCATATGTTTATCGACTAATGTGAAGACTGCAAAAAGAGGAAAACCTGACATACCAACCAGACAAGGTGTAACAAACTGTCCAAAAACATTCCTGAACAACTGCGTACACCCTGGACCTTCCTTCCTGACAAACTGCACCTTGACAGAGGGAGGAGCAAGACTAGTTTTCCTTCATGTTTTCTGTCCGTAGGCTGTCATCCATATTCTAAACGTCTCGTTTTATTACTCTCCAGTGCATGCAAATGTGATAGATAAACTTAAAAAACAACAAAACCTGGAGACTCCTGACTGACTTTTTACTGCTAAGAATGGAAATTACAGGACAATGACAAAAGAATTTATACTTAACAGCCAAGGATGACAAGGATTTACCTCCCTTATGTTTAAGATTCAGCTCATCTTTACTCACTGCAGAGAAACAAGCCTACAGAGTCACAGGCAAACACCGCATCACTCTGGAAGCAAATGACAGACGGAACAAAGCTGAAAATGTGAAAAAACTGTGGGAAGCGTCTGGCCCATAGTGTGATGTCTGTACTTGGAAGCTAAAGAGGAAAAACATTAAATAGGTCACAGCTAACATAGTGGCTTCTCCCAGACAACAAAGCAAATGGAAACAGAGGCTAAACACACTGCAGCGCAGACCCCTGACCTCAAACTACACACCGACTCTGTCTCACACACCTCGGACTTTATTCTGCCGAGCGCCAAGCTGCGTCAGCAAACTCTTAAACTTTTAAGCTCTAAACTTTCTTTTATGGTTTCAAAATAAATAAAAACTAACGTAACTGAATTACTTCAACTAACACCTTTAGAATTGGCTCGAGTATATCTGAATAACAAACCTTGTGAAGGCAGTGTTTAAAGAATAGAAAACAAATAAAATTTAAGTGTTTCCACTTTTTTAAAACCCACCTTGTGATCTGGAGTAAACGGCCACAGAGCCACTAACCAGGCCGGCGTACAGACAGTGCTTTTTATAGACCACGCTGGTGACAGGAGACTTGTCTGGGGTGAAGAAATGCTGCAGACGCACCTTCTTGGACCGCTGGCTGCTCTTATACACGATGATGCTGAACAGAAGAAACACACGATCAATACGAGGAGAATGATTAGTGACGGCTTGTCTATGTGACGTGATTTAAAATAAACCCTGATACATTTACTGATTACTTTGTATTTGCCAAACATTTTACAGAATTTTTAGACTTTTGAATTCTAACACGTCAAAAGTCATTTGAAATTTAACCAATTATTTAGAAGCATTTATTCTTAAACTGCTTTGTTTAATTAAACTTCCAGCATTCGTTGATTAGTTCTTGTTTGTGGATGTGTATGTGTACCTGCCCTCCTCCATGCCCAGACAGACAGTGGGAGTGTCGGTGGTCTTTGTGAGGAGGACCTGGCTGTTCTCGGGCACCTTGTCACCGTTCTCATGAAGCTGTTCTGTTGGAACGTAGGCCATGCAGAGGATTTGAGACTCCACGTTGAAACACTCCGTCACTTTCGGGCTGGAGTTCTGCATGGCCACTATGGCTATTTGGCCCATCTGGTTTGTGCAACTTGCAACCTTTAGAAAGATTTTTTTTTAATTAACTGATTAAAAGCTAGTGACAGATTTAAAACTGCACAGTGTGTAAGGGCCCACTGCACAGAAAACTCATGAGACCCCATGTTAGGTCTTTATCATGCAGGATTATCTCTCACCCAGACACATCCGTGGCCCACAACAGGAGAGTCAGCCGTGCTCTCTGGATTAATGTGGGGCTCTGGATTGTGAACCGCACATTCCACCTGCCAAAGACAAGAAAATGTCAGAGGAATAGATGATTTGAAAAGTCACAACCAAAACTGGTAAAACTTTATACACCTTACTTAGCCTTATTTAATCATTAATAAATAATTAGTTAACACTGAAAACATTAATGACAATTCTAATTTAATATGCAATAAATTAACACATTGATGCTTCACCCAGAATGGCTAAATACTTAAAAAACCAACATACTCWCTGTTTATTTATGCTTAACGACTCATGAATTATTTTTCTGGATACTGTGTGTAYGTATGCTCATGTCATGGACTGCTTAGAGCAGGGGTGCCCTAATTTTTTCCACRAGGGGGCCAAAATGAAAATCTATCTGAGGGCTGCAGGCAAAAGGCTATAATATATACAAATACTTATTAAGTAAAGTCCTTTTCTTTGTATGATTAAGCAAGCAGCCACCGCAGGGGGCCGTTTTTTTGTTTTAGCTYGTAAACAGCACTTACAGAAAGTTTGACGTTACGCTCGGGCAGCAAAGACTCATGGGACATTTCATAAATTGATTCTGTATGAGTTTTTGTGGTCTTAAAACGTGTGCAAATCGACATGTAATCTATACGTCTCTTCTAGTTACTTGTTTTTCATGTTTAATCTTAATAATTCAAAGATGAAGTCAGCACCATGAATGAAGGCTATCTTCTCTACAGCCTGATATGTAGTCATTGGGCCAATAGRTGCAATAACTGAAAGGGGAATTACAGTGTTTCTACAAAGGATGACAGGAGATAATTGCTGCTGGTGGGCCAAACCAAAAAGCCAATTTTGGCCYCACTTTTAGGTACCTCTGAGTTAGAGAACATTTGAACTGACTTTGATTTTGGTCTGATTTCCACAGGTGAAAAGGGAACCTGTGACACTTCCGGGTTTTGTCAAAATTAATAAATAATTAAAAAGTATAAACAGTAATTCCTGAGTTATTAAGCATGAATAAAGAAAAAGTATGTTGGTTTTGGAAGTAATTAGCTTTTATGGGTAAAGCATTAATACATGTGTTAATTAATAACTATTTAAGAATGTATCATCCTTAATTAATGATGTTTCCAAGGTTAACCAAAAATTTATCAATGATTAGGTAAGACTAAATAAGGTGTAGTTATTCTAAAGTTACCCAAAAATCAAACAAAATGCATATGTCTGAGTTATCTGTAAAAAGTTAATACAATTTTTTTAAAAAGTCTCTTCAAGGGAGATTCTTTCATCTATATGAGTCACTTTAGCTGCAGTGCAACAAACTACTCATCTCAAAACTAACTACCCTTGTTAGGAATTGAACCCATAACCTTTGCATTATTAGCACCAGACTATCTACTTGAGCTAACCGGCCTCAAATAAAAAAAAAAAACAACATCAATGGTGGTCGAACAATCTATAATGAGATCTGACTTCACTCAACATGTCACTGACATGTGAGAATTTGTGCCTCCAGTCTGTGGACATCTTAACTTTCCAGCTTTGACATGAACACATTTAGTTTCAACTTTCTCATAAAAAAAACCATCTCATCAGTTCACAGCTGAAACGGTACAKCTTCACTCGTCAGTAACATCAGTAGTTTACACCTACGGTGAGCTCAAGTAACAATAAAAATCACTCCACAGATATCCTGTCAGAAGCTGTTGTGTACTTCGTAAGTAGTATGTGTGAAATTGTGATTTTCACTTTGCTCACGTGTTAAAAACATTAAAGCATAAACAATGGATGTGTGAGAAACACATTTCAGCTACAACTCACAGCACACTGCAGCCTCTTGGCATTTCCAGTCTCTCATACAAGAGATCAATGAGGTGGAATCAAGAACCCAATGAACTGTCTACAGGCAACAATCCATATTTGTATTTCAGTATGTTGGCCCCATGTCAGACATAAAAATAATACATTACGATGATATTTTTGTTTGTTTTGGCACGTTATCAAAAGGGTCTTTCTGGTTTAATTATTAGGAACTATTACAATTACCAACAATTCAGTTTTATCTGCAGGTTGACAGAATTAAAGGCCATCTTTTTCTTCATTGCAGCTCTCTGAATGAGCGTAGTGAGGAGCAGGGAAGAGAGCAGCTCACACAGGAATATTGATTGCTTTAACCTTTAAAATTTAAGGGCCCGGGGTGCCGCTCCAACCCACCCAGTAAAGTGTGTGCTCCCATAAATTAAAGCCGATGCTGTTCGAGTTCAACCTACAGCCATTTGTTGTACATCACCCTCCCCCAATAAAACTGTGAGGACCCCACAGCCTTTTATTGGCATCAACTCTCCAACCGACTGAGCTAACCGGTCAAAAACTGAATATGTAATGAAGACATTCTCTTAGATCTTTAATAACATGGCTATAGTTYAATCAGCTGCTATAAAATAAAAGAACTCTTGCTCCTAAGAAAACTCTTCTTAAACATTTGTTCAAATCATCCATCAAACATTACACAAACAGAAGCGGAAACAAGTGTGGAAAGCAACAAGCTTCAATCCTCATTAAAGCTGGGTTTAACACGCTCTACAGCAAACAATACATTTACTGATCATACATCAGAAAACATCCATCTTACTAGAAAAGAAAAGTATTTACCTTGAACTCTTGTAGTTTTGACATAACGACAGGCATCTGTCGAAGTAAGAGAGGGTGTTTCTGCTTTTTGATTTGATTACCATCGTCATCTGCAAAGAACCAGCCCTGCAGGTTGTCCTCTTCTAATTTAGAACACAAACAGCACAGTTCAGTTTGATACAGAACACAATCATCTGGTTTCTATTAGAAAGCTCCACGGGCTCACACTGTAAAATCTATWTTAACATCTCAGGAAATTCAACTATTATAAAAAGCTGGGACACAACTTTTGTGTTGACTTTGGATTTAAAAACAACTAGAAGCCAAAAATATACTCAGCAAAACAAAACAGGGTAATTGTGAATAATAAATAAAACAAAATAATATTTGTACGAAGACAGGAAGTAATATGGAAATGAGCGATGGAAGTACACAGATGGGTAGTACACTGTACCTAGAGCCAACTTAGCCRTCTGCAAGTTACTGATCCATGACTGTTTGATTGCTGGGCTGTGTGTATTGAACACAGCACTGAAGTATGTTGGTTTACCCGTCCTGCCAAATATAGAAACAAGAAATGAGAAAAATCAAGAAGATCTTGGCCATGATTATWTTAGTCCCAAATTTATGAACTAAGMATTTTCTAATCTCTACTTGAACGTTGTTTTTCAGCACAATGATGACGCTGCAGCCTTGAAAATGTTTAAGTTGCACAAAGTAGAATGTGACAATGTAACCACAAGTTCTAATAGCAGCTTGAGCAGACACWCTGCAGCCGTGTTTGCCTCTTCTCTGTGTTCGGATGATTTAAATGCAACCCTGCAGTCAACGACTGAGAAGTCTGGTGATTTGAGATGAAGGGATCTGGAGAGCAATGAGAGACGAGCAGCTGTGTTCCCAAACATACCCTTAGATAATCTCAGCGTTTAAACGCAGCAAAGATGAGTGATGGAAYGAGACAGAAAAAAATACAGAGAATTAAAAAGACAGTTCTGGTCATGTGTCAAAGAGCMAAAATAAGACGCTCCCTGGGGGTCCGTGTGGGGTCTATAATAAAGTGTGGTAATGTGCAACAGGAATATTTGTGTTCAGCAGCTGGGTAGACTCTGGTTGCAAACACTGCTGGTGAATTTCAGCTCTTGTGATTCATGCCTCAGATTAGAGCWGGTGCAGAAACTTGTTTATTCCAAATATGCTCTAATTCTCTATCAGAGCCAAATGCATAAAGGGAGGCTACAAGGAGAAAAGGAGGGTAAAAGGGGATAAAGATAACCCCGGGATAAATAAAACACTACGGGGGGTAAAGCCCGAGACAGGAGACTGCTGTTTGGGTTTAGAATGAGTTCAAACTAAGGCAAACGTGAGTGCATTTATTTGTGTAAAAACAAAACAAAACAAACTTGTCTTGTTTGCCGGGCAGCTGGAGTTGAATTCTGCACCGGTCAGCTGCTCTAATCTCCTCTTCCTTCTTCAGAATTAGCCTCTGGAGACCCGAGACCCAATCGTGCGCCACGGTGGGATTCACATTCTGCACAGCAAAATATCAGAGAAAAAATAATCAATTTGAAGAAAATAGAGCCGAAATTGAGCAGAGAAATAATATAACAAGATAGAGAACAAATGTTTGGTGCTTTACGATAAAAATTCACTAAGATTATAAAGTTGTTTTTATGAGTAAAGAAATAATTYCACTCCGATGACTCCTTTTATATAAATCTTAATGTGAACCTGGAGATTGTGGCTTAAACTGGTGAATTGTTTCACTGTAAATAGTGTTTAGTACAAAATTTCTGCTTCCTGTCGCAATCTTTGACTAAAAGTATTTTTGTGTTGAAATCAACAAAAATAATCTACAACTTCAAAAGACTTTTCCCATATTTATCAGTAGACCACTATATTTTTGGCCTTTAAATGAAATCATTAGTGACATGTTGACCTTTCAGTGTGGCCTCAAAAAACATGAAACCTTCTTTTGTAAAAAGAACCTCGTTGATGTTATTTAGGATGTAAAATTTATTCTTGAGATTCTAGGCTCTGTTTATTTCTCGCCTCTTTCTTTGCCTCTTCATTAATCTCCATCCTCTGCTTGATGCGCTTGGACACATCTCTCTAAGAGCCTCTTCATTACTCTGCCTCCCAGCCTGCTTCTGACAGACCTAACAGCACAGCACAAACACGGCCTCACATCCTCCTGCTGYGCTCTGCAAACTGGAGCTCTGCTTCACTAGCACAGACAGTGTGTGGATACTTCATATAACACACCTGAACGGCCTAAATCACAACTTATGAGGCACCAGTGTAGTTAAAATGAAATGATTAAATGAGTGCATTTCACAGTTTAGATATTTTAACCCTTCGAATGAAGTCCTCATGAAAACATATGTTTTCAGATAATAAAACAGAAACAGATAATTATTTTATATAAACATTTTTTTTAAAAAGCTGACCAGCGTTCCGTTGGTGTGATTTTAACTAGTTTGTGTGCACTTGCGCAGTACCTGATAGTTTCCTTTAAGGCTGCTGATCATAGTGGAGATCTGATTGACCAAACTGAGGTCGTGGATCAGGTTTTGCAGGTCTTGGTACAGCTGGCCAGGGCCCATGTACAATTTGTCTACAAAGAAACACAAGACATATTTTTAAACAACAGGTGCAACTGTTCAAATTTAAATTAAAAAAATGTGCGTTCAGAGTGTGAAAGTGTTTAAAATTTGCCAACAAGGAAATATGGTGACATCTAAAAGTTGTAGCTTTTAACATTTCAGTCAGAGAAAGCTGGAAGCACAGGCAACAATGAGCAAAGTCAGTCTGGTGATAGCAGCAGTTAGAAAAAAGGACAAAAATCAATAAAGATCAACCAGTTGGTTTCCCACAAGCTGCTGTGACAGCTCTGCAAACTCGCAAGTGATTTTCATCTATTTCTTTCTTTGTTCACAGGAACACCAATATGAACTGTGAGCTTTGAGAGGCCGGTTTGTTTTTGTGTGTCTGCTTAGCTCGACCTCTGGATTCTTTGTGTGTGCTGCTGCTGCTGCTAGGTACTTCATCTTCTATTCTAACCCATACAGCTGCAATAGTGTAAATATTTATAGTCATCAGCAAACAAAACTGAGCAGTGTGATAATGTTTCTGTTTCATGTAGTGATAACGCTGCTGATTAACAAGAGATTAATGGTGGCATCTGCTTTACATCGTTGGGATCAAAGTTAAAGACCGTGTAAAGTAAAAATAAATGTGTTCTGAGGTTGTCCCACCACAGAAATATGTGTTAATAATCACCCAGCCAAGTTTGAACAATTAAAAATACTGTTAACCTTATAAAATTGTGTGTTAAAAGTAATGAAAAATATCAGTTAGCTGTGATCTGGAATGCTGGGGGCGTGTCCTCTAAGGAGCTTAAACCACGCCCACGACCCTGAACATTCCTGTAACTAAGGAAACAATGTTTTCTTTTCCATTAGAGCAACAGGGGGTAGGGTTATACTATAGGCAGCTGCGTGACATCACGAGGCTGCCCTTTAAGACACGCCCAAAAAATCCTGAAACACAGATACCTTGTTACACAAATTGAATCATATCTCCACTATTCAAATATCTACAGTTGAGAGAATTTTTACTCATTTACAACAATCCATTTATGACATTTATAATATTTTAAAAATAAAGTGTTACATTTTACTTTACACGGTCTTTAAAGTGTTGAGCAGAACTTTATGTAGTTTGATTAACTGTTTACAACGAAGCCTTATGGTGTGTTTACGATGGAGCTCTATGCAGTAAAGGTGACATTTTATTCCATCTTTTGTTGTGCATTAATTGATGAACTAACAGAAGTAAAAAATAGGAACTGATAATACTTCTGAAAGTGACCAATCCCAGAGATTAGACAGGCCCCTTGCAACCCATTTTAACAGMGATCTAGCTTTCTGAATAGCTCTTTGTATAAGTGCCAAATAGCAAGTCTGCAAACAAAACAGTCCAGAGAGGATCAGAAGCAGGCATGCCTGAAGAAAAAAAAAACATTTATAAAAAGCAAACAATTTATCTGCAAATTATGGACTTGCTGGGGGAGCAGCAGGAAAACGTAAATGAAAATGACTGGTTTGCACAGTGGTCCGTTTATCTGCAGCGCACAGGAAGAGACTAAACAAAAAGACGTACAAAGAGCTGACATCATACGCTGGAGAAACGTTTTAAGGCTTTCTGTTTGGCTGTTGCCTGAGYCGATTCTGGCTATAACAGATGAGAAACGATTGTTTCCACTTGGTAAAGATTACCAGACAAACACGCACATTTCTACCACACGGAGAACTAAAGCTGGTTTGAAATTAACTAGGATGACTAACTTCTGGTCAAGGTGCATTAAAATGAAATCTTGTTGAAGCAGCGTGGTAAAAGCTCTGCAGGCCTAGAGTCAGAGCAGATGATGCTCAGGTCTGTGTGCCATCTGTTATCAGACACTCATCTAATGGCTGAACTGTTGATTTGACTCAGAAAAATAAAGGCAGGAGGATGCYGTCGACCAACATGTGATGGTGAAGTGTGAGCAAACGAAATGTGACAAAGAAAAGAAAAGAAAAGGTCAAATGGAGGATGTGAAAGTAGGCAAAAAAGGGTATAAGATCCTTTTTTTCTAGAAATGAACAAAAGTTTTTAGTGTATAAACAAAGTGATGCTATGTTACAACAAATACATTAAAAACTTGACTGTAAGAGTCTGAATATTAGAGTAAAAGAGTAAGAGAAAACATTGTGGCAGAGCTACAGAGTGCAGCGTGTAATTTAACAGTAGTAATTCTAGCCTGCAACAACTGGAAACTAAAAGCGAAAGCCTTTGACCTCTGCTTGAACACTCGAGCCATTTCACAGACCTGCCATAATGCATTATCAAAGCACTCAACAACTTAGCAGAAGACCAACAACTACTTCAACACAAACRTTTGAAAAACACGAAACAACTCCTAAAATAAAAAATTGCAGAGCTGCGACCACAAAATCATACACCGTCTTCATCCTCGTTTGTCTGATCTGAGGCTTTTAAAGTGGCTGAGCAGCTGTTTGTGACAGAGCAGAGCTCAGCTCAGTGGAAAAACTGAAACCACTGGACTCAGCAGCCAGCAGACCAAAGGACTGCAGCGGGGTGGTGATGGGGGGGGACACACACTGTATCGATTCATTTGAGTAGATTTGAATGTCTATAAGTCTCCATTTTCAAACAAATCTTGACAGATTTTTTAAATACTTAGCTATTAATCATCAAAACTGATGCTTTTCTGCCAGCGAGGCTGTGAGAGGCTGGGATTCGTACTTGGCTTGGCGCTGATCACCACCTTCTCTCCGGAGTGAGGAGCAGGGTGGCGGCTTCTGTCGACCATGTCCTCGCTCGATCCAAACTCCAGCACTTCCACGAAGCTCAGAGGCACACTCCACTTCAGGCGGAACCTCTGATCGAGTGGAGCATTTCCACTGCCGCTCCCACTCCCACTGCCATCCTGACACCTGCGTAGAGTTTCAAAATGAAAACCAGGAAGGTCAAGTTATAGGGGGAGCAAATGTCACTAATCTAGAGCAATCTAGAGCGTGATTATCTAGTGAATGTGAAGGTAATTGGAAGTTTGTGTTGAGGTCTTTCCTACCGGATGTTGGGCGTGGCACACATGAGCACATCATTAAGCAGGAAGAGGCGTTGCTCCTTGGTTTTGATGATTTCACCTCGCTCATTATAGACCGTCTCCACCATGTCGTCTGAGCGGATCAGGTAGCGAGTGCCGTTACTCAGCAGCTAGAAGATGAGGATAATAAGTCAGCTGAAATGAAGAATGTTGTATTAAATCTAAAACCACAGCTGCGAACAGAAACGAGGAACTATGAAAGACAAAGAGGACTCTGATAGTGTCAGGGTGTACTGGCTCACTGTGCTCCTGCGCCCCACGTTTTCTGCAACACTTCTGTGAAAGTGCTCATTTTTTGAATGAAAGAGTTTAAACTATGATTCAGAGTAATTAAAGCCTACAAAGAGTGAAACTTTACTGCCCCAATGTAGGACGTCACGTAAGCACCAATGTCAGAGTAGGTGGCACAGACAGACAAATAATTATAAAGTGGGATGACTGGGGTTTGTGGACATGGTGTTTTTGCAGTGTATTAATGTGTCCCTTCAGAAAAAGACAKTGAAACGTCTCAGCTGGGTGAGCAATCCGTCAAGAAAAAAAACTCTAACATGCTTCGCTTAAAATAATACATAAAAGAGAAATTTGGACAAATGGAAAGGACAAACTCCACCAAGTAAACACACCATAAACACAAACTCTAAAGTGAAACGTGCCGACCTTATTTAGATAACGTTCATTCACAGCCTTTGCAATGTGACGGATCTCACAGCGCTGGTCGGCTTCCCTCTTTCTTTCGTTTAGCTTCTCTGCCAAYGTTTCCAGTTCAGTCAGGGCCATCTGCAGGGGCAGACGGTCTGCGTGGCCCACTGGTGTGTTCTTCAGCATGTCCTGATGAAGGTGAAGAGAATTAACCGAGTGAGCAGATTCATAAGAACGCATAAAGGCTGTTGCTTTAATCATTTCCAGCATCTATGGTCATGATAGTGGCATTGYGAWATTTTCACTGGATTTGTAGCTATTTCTCCACTACTACACAGTGATAGTTAAAACTAAAGGTCTCTCACATTTTATGACAAGAGACAAATAAAACCTGGGTAAAAGAAAGCTGATTCAAAGAATAAGAAAGTCATTTGACTTCAGATGTTGGTGCTGCAAGTCAAGAATCCTTATGTTTGATTAAGAGGCTCCCTCTGCTGGTGACTTTATATACAACAGTGTTGTGATTTGGAAAAAAATAATTATAGTGAAACATTTTTCACACCTGAAGAAGCAAAATAAACTGTGGGAATCTCTGGATGGGTTTCATCATCAGACCATAAAGAGTCATTCTGTCACCGCTGGTTTCTTGACGATTCTGCACAAGAAGGCACGTTACTACGTCGCAGCAATAACAAATCTTTATAATAACTTAGATAAATAAAACTGTTAAAGCAAACAGATGTATAAATGCGCTTGAATAAAAGATGATGAAACATTTTCTGTATTTAAAAAATACTTCTATTTTATTGTAAACAAACTAAAGTACAGCACATATCATTACTTTCAGTGTTACTGGGTTAATATTCTTGCATTAGGAAAAGTTTTTCCAACCTTAAGGAACTCCAGGAAGCCAGGTTTGGAGGCACACGTCTTCCTTACGACGGCCATTGCGGTGCTGAAGTTGTTCACGTACTCGCTGTAGGCATCCAGCACCATAGACTTAGAAAACTGTACAGAAAATAAACAACATGAAATTTTAGAAATATGTCAATTAATWTGATTTAACAGAAACAGAGGCCGAATGAATAATAACTGATGGGATTTTAGTTCCCAGTTTAACCATAATCTGTGTAAAACCAGCACTAATCACTACTTCACTGCATCTAAAGTTATTTTAAATACATTAAAATAAATATAAATTTGACTGTTCATAAATTCCCATTTCCTACAACTAATAACATTTTGGGTTACACCTTTTAATACATTTTTAAATTTTAAATTAAAGACTGTGCTTACCGACGCCACAAAGACATCTCCTATCATCTCCAGGCCATCCCACTCAGCCACGCGACTCGCCAGTGCGATCTGAAACAGGAAGTGGCACTGCAGGATCTCACGCACGCGGTAGAAGACAATCTTCAACTTCCTGTCGCTGAGCAGTCTGGGCTCGATCTGGGACAGGGGCTTCTCATACAGCTGACGAAGCAGACAGTAGGACTTGTAACAACCACCGCTACAAAACTAATTAGACAATTCTTCCAGCCTTACTCGCACACCTCTAATATCCTCTTGAGTGCATCGAGATAGTTCTTCTCACTCTCTAAAATAGAGCCCAATATACATCTTCTAACAAGCTGTAAACAAATAAAATAAAGGTCAGAACAGGGTTACATGAAGTGTAATAAATGTTAAAGGACGTGCTCCTTACCTGCTGCTGCGTAAGACCTTCTGGTGTTGGACACAGCACCGGCTCAACATTGAAACAGTCCACCTCGATAAAAAGTTCAGATTCATCCTCAAAACAGGCCGACTTTCTCTCTAAAACAAGAAAAAGAGAAAAAGAGAAGACAACTGTAACATTTTAAAACTACTTTAACACAAACACAGGAGGTAATACCTGGGCTGGGCAATAAATCAGTAATAATATTGTGAAAGACACGTGATCAATATCAATAGAAAATATGTCCAATGAAATGTTAATAATTTCACTGAACTCCAATCCAGAACCAAAYGGCATTCTGGGAGTTGTAGGCAGAGGAAAAGCTTTAGCCTCTTAACCTCCCACAGCCTAAGCAAGTTGGTAGCATCAACTCACTCTTTGGTAAACTGGTCCTTATTTCAAATAGGCAAAAACTAGGGCTGTGAAATTTATTGAGTTAACTCTGATTAATTTTAGTGCTGCATGGGCATAGATTAAAATTTTTAATCGCGATTAAAATTTACACTCACTTTACTATGGCTGAATATGTAGGTTTGTACATTGCAATGCATTCAGTGCATGCCAGGTTATCAAAAAGAAAAAAATTGTACAGGTCTTCTGGACGGGTTCTTCTCTAATGAAACGTTTCRTCTCTYCTCCAAGAGAYTTCTTCAGTCTGAGAGTTTCAGGCAAAATTCAGGCTTTTAAGCCCTGCCTCCGTGTGACTAATAGCCATACTCACATCACATGGCTATCGTTGACACCTAATTAACACTTATTGTTAACAGGGGGTGGAGTGATACTGGCAATGGCCGTGCTGTAGGAGGGGGACAACTGAAAACGGAGGCCTCCACTTCTGTTTAATGATGGACGGTCTTTCTTCACAAAAATGGCTTTTTTTAAAAAGAATTCACAGCTACCTTGGAATTAATAGATTTAAAATTTTAATCATTTGACAGCCCTAGTAAAAACAAAACAAAACAAAAAACGAATCAATAATTATCAATATCAGCTGATGTGAAACGCTTATGTCGTAATACATTTTTCAGCCGTATCGCCCAGCCCTACTTTTAGCCAAAGGCTAGTTTCATTTTCTGGATTACATACCCTGACAGAACGACTTCGTTTTGATGAAGGAACGTCCCTTTTTCACCGCAGCTCTGGTTTTCTGAAGTCCATCTTTCGTTCCTTCCTTGGCTGCCTTCACCAGCTTTTGCATCTTGAAGTAAAAAGAAAAAATATCAATAATATCTCAACGTTACGTTTTACAATCAGAAGTTTCAGTTGACGTTTGTCTAAACCTAAAACTAAAAAGCAACGGAGCTACATGGGATAGGAGTGTTAGAGAAATTAGGATTTATGGGACAACCAGCAACTGGGACATCAGCTGAAAGGTTTCTTTTTAAAACATATTTGTCGTAAAGTCTCAGCTACACCTAAACACAAGAGATTAAGAGTTCTGTTGCTGCTGTCTCAGTTAACTGTGTACTATGTTATGTTAGAAAACACTATATCATAACCTTTACAACCTTGTGGGACTTGTAATGAAGCAGAGAGGGTGTTAAACTTCATGTTAACCCATCACCACCAGGACCACCACCACAAGTAATTCACATGAGACGAAGGCTAGACGAAGGTACCACATCAGTGAGAAGATGCCAAGAGTGGAGTTAGCCAGACGGAGAGTACAAGTTTGGGACTAATCTTTTCTAGCACAAAACACATGAGGTGAGCCTCGACTAATTTACCTTCAGCTCGTGTTTCTGTTTTAACTGCTGCAGCTCTACCGTTCCCACTGTACTTGCCATTAGATCTTTCATCTTTTTCTCATAGTGCTCTTTCAAGCGTGTCAGATCTTGGGAGAGCTAAACGGAAGCAAAGCAAGCGTTACTGGTCATGGTTTCAGAATTCTGTTTAACCTCAGGGTTTCGGGGAATTCGCTTTTCTTTGCGTTCGTGATTTGATTCTTTTTCTAAAATGTTGTTTGATTAAAAAAAAGGGCAAAATATTAGAGTTGGAGAAAAAAAAAAAGATTTGATGACCGCGGGCACCGCTCTTCTTCTTACAGACAACAGAAGAAAAGAAAGTAAACTTATTGAAAAACTTCCAATTTAATAAAATATTATAATAATTTTAGACACAATTCAAAACATTTAAATTATAATCATTTGCTAAATAAATGTGTCAGATTTTAGCATTAAATAATGAAAAATCATTAAAACTTATTTAGGGATCGTCCATTTCACAGAAAATTTACAAAATCCTCTACATTACTAATACACAACTTAGAATTTTTTTTTTTTTGGTTGATTTAAAAGATTTTTAGTGACTTATTTCTAAGCCATCATTAGCCGTCTTTCCATCAAAGTTTTTTTATGCGCATTTCCAAATTAAAATAGGATGGAAACACTGCTAATGAGTTATCACCAAGTTAGAGGAAAAAAATAAATAAAAAAATCAGGAGAATTACTTTTTTATGCCTATAATTGTCAAATAATCATTTTCAGAACATAAACATCAGTAAAATTGGTTAAACAATTATTTTCTTCAGTAATAGATGCGACTCATCACATTTGTGGAAATAAGAGTTAAAAAAAATGCAAACATGGTTCAATAAACTGGACATGGGGTYTATTCACTGGCAGGACGCCAGGCTGGGAAATGGGAGGGGATTCGTTATACTCACATGGATCTTCTTCTGTGGGGGTTTTCCTCTCATGAAGGCGTTGGGCAGGCCGTTCTCAGGACGACTCTCKCCATCGCTAGCTTCGTCGTAGCTTTCAAACTCACTGGAGCTCCAGCCGTTATCGAGGGAGCTGCTGCAGCCGCCCTCCTCCCCGAGCTCCACATCGTCGTAGATCATCTCATCTGGATCTGTGCGAACCCAGAGGACAAACAAAAAATACGCCAAGACAAAAATGCAGCTTTGTTATAACTTTAAATAACTTATAGAATCATCAACTCAAATCAATGATTTCACAGATGAACCTTCTAATTAAAGAGAACCTTTGTAAAATATCATCTCACATTTATTGTAATGAATTGCATATAGGAATAAACAGATAAAAATACAATAGATTTAAACTTTTTTTGTATAAAAATATACATTTTAACAGTTTAAATGTATCTAATCACAGTAATAAATCACTACAGATAGCAAAATCCAGAAAAAAAAARGACTGTGCCCATAAACTGCACATTAAACACAGGAAGCTGCTGAATTTGTAAAATGACAGCATGAAGAGGAACAAGTTCAAACCTGTGTTGGAGTCAGAGTTCTCTCTGGGCACATCATCATAGATCACCTCATCTGGACCTGAAGAACATGTCAAAACCTCACAACAGTTAATCCAAGGCTTCTCACAGCAGACACCTGGGTTACTCACACAACAAGCAGAACATGAAGCACAACAGAACTACAAGAACAGTGCACACACACAAAACACACACAAGGGCCTGCTTCCTCTAAATAAAAAGGGAAGGAAGTGTCTGGGAATACAGTTGGTTCAAGAAGAAAATGAAAAAAAAGGCAGTCTGAAGGCATGAGCTGAGCGATCTAAACAGCAGCGGTGTCATATTTTCATCCCTTACTTTCCATCCAAGCAGTGTTTGCAGGATCTGATGCCCATTTAGCCAAAGCATCTTCTTCTGTAATCGGTGGATTCTCCTCACAGAAAACACTTGGGGGACAAAAAAAATTTACGTAAGCAATTATCCAGACAATTATTGTTACTATACAGTTAGGAGGAGTACACCTCCCATAAAYTTATCTTTAAAAGACTTGTACAWAAATATTTGTACAATCATGTGATTGTGTGATTTGGGACTCACCTGTCAGCMGAAGTGATGCTAGTCCCTACCACACTCACTGAAAACACAAAAAGTTACACAAAAAGGAAATTTTAACACTAATCAGCCCATTATTCTGCCAGCAGCTCTTTTCTAAAAGGTCCCACAGTTTATTGTGAACCACTCATTAAAACAGAATTTACATAAGATTGTGAAAAAAAATGAGTTGAGTCTATAAAATCAGGATGTAAAATTTTATACAGTTCTGTATATAGACCCACATTTACCTCCGCTCTTTCAGCTCTGCCACCAGGTGTCACTAATGGTTCCATAAACTTATATTTTAATAGAGATAATTACTTTAAGTGTGTTCACAAATGTCACCTAATTCAGGATTTCTACTGTTTTCTTGTTGTCAGAAAAGAAATGCCATGACAAGGTGATAATGTAGTTTTTTTCCCCCCAGTAAAATTATCTATTTAGAAAAGGCTAAAATGTTACCATAAATCATTTTCAAGATTAACAAAAAATTCAAAGTCATTTACTAAAATAAAACATATTTCCACATGGCCTTGGTAAGATAATAACAGTCCAATTAGGCTGCTGCTGCTGCCAGTCCACAAGCTTGGACTGCAAGTTTTCAGTGAAACCGGAAAATCCTCACAGCCAACACAGATCTTTGGGGAGATCTAAATTTAGTTCCTGCTTCCTTGTGGCAAGGCTTTCGGAAAAACAAAAGAGAAGAAAGAGCAGGGGATGGAAGCAGCTGAGACAGCGGTACGTGTTGAAGCCTCACTCTGAACATGTTGAGCAGTTTTATATTTTATTATTATTTTATGTGCATCCTTATTTATAATTATTTCACAAACTCCATTTCAGAGAAGTAGTTTCTACGTTACCATCTTCATCCGCGGAGAGATGTCGAATGATGACAGGTGTGGTGTAGGCTGGGGTGAGGAGCGGGACTCCAGAAGGGGTAGCATAGCCACATGGCACAGGCACAGAGTATCCTGAAGTGACGCCAGGGGAGCTGGGGTGGATATCCTGCACCTCTCCCTCTCCATCTTTTGGCTCCGACGGTGAGGAACAGGAAGAGAGGGATCCATGCTGCTGCTCCAGCTGGATGGGAGTGATATCAATCACAGAGTAGGGGTTGACTTTACCCTGGGAGGAGGTGCCAAGGARCTCCTGAGGAGTGTTCGGGTCATCCATGGATGCATTCTGGCCTTCACTGCCTAACGTGGGAGGAAAGAGACCGTGTTTATGATACAGAAAGATAGTTTACCAAAAGTATACCCTTAATTTGATTATTAATACATTTTAAAAACTTGGTTCTAATTTTCTAGAAAATTGGCGCAAATTAATTAACAAGTTTTCAGACTTTACATATTTGTAGTTTSATGAAGTTTTTACATTTTTAACAAGCACACTCTCTGATCACATTTCCACTATGTTTTAGATTTAAAAGCTTCACTGTGGAAACACTGGGGCAAAGTTTGTTTTTTCTGGATTGTGTTTAGCAAGCACGAGCCTATGGACTGATCCGAACATTGATCAAAAATATTAATGTGTTTTGATTACAACTTCCTTTCAGGGGGAGAAATAGAAAAAGTAAAATACTGATATTTCTCTGCTTCTATTACACTGAGAGTGAGTGGAATTAAAAAGGCCGAGGCTAATCCTGCCTTCCTCTGCTGTCAGGACTTTCAGTGATAAAAAGCAGACCACGTCCAGCAGGCAGAGATATAAGGTGTCAAAGGAAAGAGACGGCCCTTCTTTATGTCCTAACTTAGGCCTGAGCTGAAGAACTGAATGGGCTCCAGATACTGTAAAAGGAGAATGCCAGGAGAATGTGAGGAATTTTASATTACTGCCAAAACAGAAAAAATGTACTGCATTTAAGGCATTATTTACAACTAACCATTTTCTAAGCACAGATTTAGTGCGGAGGACTCTCATCCCAAACGAAAAGGCTGAAATGAGATTAACTACTCTCACTAAAGCCACAAGTAAAACGCCAACACTTTGGTTTACTAACCTGTACTTTTGGGATCTGTCTGCGAGTCGTAACCAAGAGGAGGGGGTGGAGTTGGAGGTGGTGGTAAATCTGTTTCCCTGTCATTACTCCCCTCAGCAACAGATGTCCGTTCGGCTTCTGTTGTTGCTCCACCTGGGGAACAGGGCTTGCTTGTAGCAGCTGTAGGGTCTGCTGCTGCTGATGATGAAGAGGTTGTGTTTGAGAAAGGAGCTGGAGGTTCCAAGACGATGGGATAGCCCTCGGGGTGACTGGCCGCAGAGCCGTGCTCGCTCTGATCTTCGCCGATAAGGRGTTCAGGAGCTGGAGGTGCCTGAGGGACGTCATCGCCACTGTCATCGAAATCAAAAGCTTCTCCTTCGTCTTCGTCATCAAATGGGTTGCCGTCTGCTAACACTAGATATGGAAAAGTCAAGTGTTTGTTATTGAATGAAATCCCTAAAATCTTTTTTTAATTGGCCAAAATCAACCAAACAATATGATATGAGATAATCTCATGTAGTTTTTATTTCTGCATTTTCAGATATTTAACAAAATCAGAGTATACGAGAATATTTAAYAGTTAGTTAGGTTGTATGTGGTTGTTGAAGTAACCATTACAGACCTTTAGTTAAGGGTGGAGTGAGTGATATTTATATGTTTTTTGTTTTGTTTCTTTTTTGCAGTAAGTTTTACTTCAAGGATTAGAACCCAAACAGAACCTCAGCTGCTTTAATCTGTTTAGTAGCTTTCAAAATGCATCACAGCCACTTCAGACCAATCACTTGGCAGCAGACAGGAAGGAAACGAGAAATATCTTCCCAGTTTCCACTCTGCAATTAGGCCAAAGGGAAAGAAAGTTGCTACTCCCTTCAGCGAAAAAAATACAGCCTGGGCTTAAATTATTTCTGATGTAATGAATAAAGTGGAGGACTGACTGAGTCAAGAAAATAAGAGTGGGTAAAATGAGTGGGAACATAAACTCTTCTGTTACACCAGTGGGCTCCAACAAGTCTAAAGACAGCATTGTGGGATTGATTTAGGGGCACAGAAAAAGACAAAAAAGTCTAAGAAAGAATTTGCCCCAATAAATCTTCTTGAAATCATTACAATCATTTTAACAGAGCACAAACCAAACACTAATTCACAATGTTTGACCCTTCATCTTTTATAGATCACAGAAAGAGAAACAATATTTTCTTTTGGGTGTTAATGACATCAGCTAACTTGTGTTTGTCACAGTGCTGCCCACAGAAACCACAGACTCTTTGGGAGGAAATTAAAGTGTATCTTAACCCCCCTGTGAAAAGATAACTCTGCCCCAAGGCAAAATTTGAAAAATGCATCAAAGTGGGTAGGGGAGGGGATGTGGGTAGGGGAGGTGGGGTTAGAGAGTGGAGGTGTGGCCAGGACGAGAGAACGYGACAGCTAGCATTAGCATAATTGATGCTACATGGAGAGTGACCACAGCGAC